TTTATCACATAATGGGATCAGGAGATGACTTGCATCTGTGAATGGGCTGTTGTAGAACAACCACCACAGTCTGTTAACTGTTTGTTAATCTGCTCCATTGAATGTTGACTTTGTCACGGAACTGAGATCTGAGCTCTATACAATGAGAGTTTCCTTTTCTGCTACATAACTGCTAGATGGTGGAATAATTCCACTGTGTTGTAAGGAAATAATGCAGTTACAGAATTAAGACAATATCCTTTCTTCTGCTTTCAGAAATTATGTTCAATTTCCTTACTCAAAACAACATCTAGGAAATCACTTATAAAAAACAGAACTGAGATTGGAAGGTTATTATGGGGTCTAAAGAACCCATAAAAAACCATGGGTAGGGAAAGGTGAAGACACAGTAAATGAGACATATAGAAAAGCCTTGTGTCCATTCAGTGCTTTTCGGTGAAGTCATTCAAAATGTACTTCTAGAAGTCAGCAGAGACTGCTTCACACATGCATATACCCAAGCTAAAGTGCTCTCTGAGACCCTTCTAATGTGTGTGTGAGTGTGTATGTGGAGGAGGGGGCAAGTTACACGTTAGGATTACCCGGCTGTGGCATGTGTCTGGCCCTAAGATGAACCATTTTACTCACCCACAATGTAGGAAGGCATTGTGGGAAATTTGGATAGTGCCTTGCCTGTGATGGCCATTTTAAGTTCCCTGAAAGACTCAAGCAATGCTATGTTGTTGGGGTTGTGGGATGTAAAACAGCTGGCTCCAGACCACCCAGGATTGGAACCCATTTTGAAGGACTCAGCACTGATGGTTCTACTGGGGTGCTACCTGAAAATATTACTGCTGGCCTGAGCCTGTCATCACTTTTTGACTCCAACATTAAGTGCAAGAGTGAGTGGACTGTGCAAGTTGAACCACTGAAAATCCTATGCTTTTCACTGGGATCAGTTTACACTTTAAATTATTGCTCTTTAAGAATGCAGTCCATAGGCTAGATGCATATTTAGTTACACTTAGAGAAGGCCCCCTGAATCAATGGGATTTGGATTAGTCACAACTAACTTAAATGCAATTAATTTGAGTGGGCCTATTCTATGTGTAATCTGGACCAATCCATTATGTGTAGACATGTGAACAAATATATAGAAACATACATTTAAGTGCACAGTGACTGATTGTGCTCTTGGTGAGTGTTCCCAAATGCAGTCATCTGATCAGCTAGTGGGAGGAGCAGCAGTCTTGGCCTCCGTGTCCTGTAGATTGTTAGATGGAATTTTTAGCCCACCTGAAAGGGTGCTTGGAAAGGGAAGGAAGGAGGGTCAAGAAAGTTCAGAATAACTAAGCTCACTCTGACTGGCTCTGTTTCCATGTTCCTGGCCTGGCTTCTCTGGCCTTCCCTCCCTGCCAACCAAAATAGAAACATAGAAACAGAAACATAGAAACAGACCGAGTCAGAAGGAACCTCCTGGGTCATTTAGTCTGACCCCCCCGGCTCCAGGTGGCGCTGCTCACGACATGCCTAACATGTGCATGTCTAGCCTATCCTTGAACATCCTCACCACTGGGGCTTGAACCCCACCTCCTCCTCCCCCTTTCCCTCTTCCTCCTAGGTCACTTCTCCAACCACAGAGGGCTGGTGATGCAGTTCTTTCCGTATTAGCTGTGAGGGGGTGTGGTGGGGCGGGATCGCTGACTTCCTTACTGAGGTCCTTGACAGTGGGAATGCAGACAACCCTGTAGTCTTTGGGATGTTTACCTGGGGACCATAGGGTTGCACTTTCATACTAATGGGATACAATCTTCTGCGAGTTTAGACAGAACACTATCCTACAACTCAAGCTCCCAGCACTGTTGGGGGTGGTAGGACATTTTCTCTCTAAATATACATAGGCTTGTGCCTTTAAGCTCTTAGTAACAATTATTAATCTGATTTATAGAGACTACCTGGGAAGAAAAATAATAGGGCCCTGCAATGAAACTCCTTTGAGAGGAAAAACATATCAGAACTTGATGATTTCTTTTTCTATTTCTTTTGTTAGCTGCTCTTGGGTGATTTATCCCTGAGAGGTCAGGGACAGGATGAGGTTATGCTGGTTGCATTCTTAATGCTGCCATGTATATTCCTCACTGGCTTCCTTCTTGGAACAGCACAGTTTTGTAACCTTCAATTTGTTTCTTGCTGTGAGGATGACAGAAACCTTACAGATAGAATAGCTTCTGCCCTGAATAGAATAGTTTCCACACAGCCAACCCAGAATCCTGATAACCAGTTGATGAAACAGGATAATTTCTTGCTGGTCTCCCTGCTCCCCAGGTCTAAGGGGTGGTGCATAAACATGAGCCCACACCACATCAGTGGCCTCTGCCTTGGAAATCTGATCTAAGTGCCACACTCCTTGTTATGGGAGAGACAGGGCTGCCTCAGAACATTTGCAATGATTCTGAAATTGTTTCACTCAAGTTGAAATAGGCTGTTGAATTTTTACAGTTCAGATGAAATGCTTGGACAAGTAATGTTTTGCAAAGACCCACTGAGAAGCTCTTGAGGGGGCTGCATTTCAGGGGTGAGTGGCACTGAAGGAAATTGGGGCAGGGGCAAAGGTAAAGGGGTGCAGCTCAAATACCAGTGCACTGTAGCTTAAACCTCTTACTGGCAGTAACCAAGCCTTAGGAGTCTCCCCCATTAGAATCAATGGGATTCAAATGTAGTTTTTCTTGGATGGATTGTATCTAATCTTGGAAAGTTCTATCAATATTACATTCTTTAAGCTTCATTCCTCAGCACCCCTCAACCCAGCCCAGCTCCCCAAAGTGAGCTTAAATTCATCTTGTAGAAAAAGTTTGTGAGCACTTCCTCTTTCCTGTCCACCCTCATCTGCTGACTTACTCCCATGCACCCTTGTGCTCACAGTGGTGTTGTCTGTAAGCAATTAACATGCATGGTTTTAAAAATGTAAAGAGCTGTCACAGCACTTCCCCCACTGCCCGAGCCTAAAGACCAGGACTGCTGAACACAGGAGAGATAAAACTTCTTTATCATGGTTCCTATGAAAATAATTTCCTTGAAGCAGCTTTTAACCCCAAGAGGGAAACTTTCAATGGTACTTGCCATGCTTTCCAGAGCAGACTTGCCTAACCTGGCACCCTCCCAATATTTTGGACTACAGCCCCTAGCACTCCTGACTCTTGGGCTTGCTGGCTGGGGCCGATGGAAGTTAAAGTCCAAAATATTGTGGTGCAGGTACAAGGTTGGGGAAAGCTGGGTCAGTGCAGGGTGGGCAGAAGTTAGATCTCTGTATGTGTGTGACATTGAGACTCAGAAGTCCCTGCCAGGATGGCTAATGGCACACAACATTCTGCACACCCTTGCTCCAGAAGACTCCTGTAGGCAGAAAGAGGGTTAAGAGAGCCATATATGTTCCTTTGATGTTCTGTATCTGTTGTAAGCATGGTATTTTCCTAGCAGTGATGTGCATATTATAGAACATCATGTGTGGAAAGATAACAACATTTTGGCATGAGCATAAGTGGAGGGAAAATCTATGCCTGAAAAAACCTGCACCAAAGAACTTGAACAACCTCTTAAATAGTGAACCTAGTTCATGAACAACCTCTTAAAAATAAAAGTATTTTCTTTTGGTCTCTTTTATTAATGGCTTCTAATAATGCTGTTAATAGTAAAAACAGATTGAATGCTAAGATAAATTTAGGCATAATTCACTGCATGTTTAGGCAGAAAAATGTCCATGCTGGCTGGGGAATGCTGGGTGCTGTAAGACATAGAAACATAGAAACAGAGAGAGTCAGAAGGGGTCTCCTGGGCCATCTAGTCTGACCCCTGGCTCCAGCCGGCTTCGCTCACGACATGCCCACCATGTGCATGACCTTATTCTGCCTAAACATGCATAAAAGAAACACATTCATGGAGAAGCTACCATTCATGGGTAGCTACTATCAATAGCTACCAGTCTCCTGGAGCAGTATGCCTACCAACACTCATTGCTGGGGTACTTGGGCAGGAGGGCACTGCTACACTCATATCATCCTGCTTGTGGGAACCTGTGGGGAGCTGCTTGGCCACTGTGTAAACAGAGTGCCAGACTAGATGGACCCTTGGCCTGACCCAGCATGGCCATTCTTATGCTTTTAAAATGGCATCCTTCCAGAGGTAAATGGCAAGACATTTTTCCCTGTTCCTCCTTCCAAGCCATGATTGTAAACATTGAAGGTTGCCTAATATTTGATTAGGGAATTGACGTTGGGTCTTATTGGCAAAAGTCAAGCACTCTGCCCACTACACCGTAGTCACTTTTTTTGCTCCACCCTATCCTGCCCCACCACAATCTTACTCCACTTATACAAATTTTTGGTGCAAGCACTCCTAGAATATTGTGTGCAGTTCTGGGAAAGGTCATTATTGAATTGGAAAAATTACAGAGAAGGGCAAGAAAAATGATCAAGGGACTGGAGCAACTCCCCTATGAGAAGTGGCTACAACAACTGGGGCTGATCAGCTTAGAAAAAAGGCAAGTAAGGGAAGACATTATGGAGGTGTTTAAAATAATGCATGGTGTGGAAAAAGTGGAGAAGGAATAAAATCACTAGTACCTGAGCTCATCCCATGAAGCTGATTGGTGGAAGGATTAAGACAGATAAAAGGAACTACTTCACACAGCATATAGTTAAACTGTGGAATTTGCTGTCATGGGAATTGGTGATGGTTGCTGATCAGGAGGGCTTTAAAAAGAGATTGGAAAGATTCATGAGAGGAGGCTATCAGTGCCTTCTAGCCATGCTGGCTGTGTGCTGCCTCCTTTATTAGAGGCGGCCTGCCTGCATACACCAGTTGCTGAGCAGCTTGGGCAGGGGGAGATCTTGCACCCATCCTGCTTGAGAGCTCTTGTGGGCAGCTGTTTTCTCACCATGCATATGGAGTGCTGAATTAGATGGACCTTTGATCTGATTTAGCATGGCTTTTATTCTGTTATTCTATGTTTATTCTCATTACAGGAATAGTTGCCCTTTGGTCTCTTGCTCTGCTTGCCTTTGAACGCTACATAGTGATTTGCCACCCCCTGGGAAACATGTGCCTCCGGGACAAACATGCAGCTCTTGGAATAGGCTTTGTGTGGGTTTTCTCCTTCATATGGACTATCCCTACATCCTACAATGGGATGGAGCAACTATACTACCAGCAAGATTGGAACTACCTGTGAGCCCAACTGGTAAATACAGGAATGTAACATGGATTTTATCAGGCCTAATCAGATAGAACTTTAAGAACCTGTGTGGGAGTTTTTTTTAGGTATTCCAGAGACTATAATGATCATACTTTCATTATGACATTCTTCACCACCTGTTTCCTACTGCCACTGATGGTGATTTTGGTATCCTATGGGAAATTAATACAGTAACTTAGAAAAGTAAGTATAAACATTCAAAAGATGGGTCCAGTTTCCAAGCACTGTGCTTTTAACTAGCCACTGTGCACTTCTTAGGGTGGACCTAGATTAGTGCAGAACCCTAGGTCAGGATTATATGGTGCATGCCCAGATGCTTGGTTGAATAGTACGATATGAACAGTGAAGTGACACCGTTCTAGCTGAAGGAGCAATGCATAAAACAAAACAAAAATAAAAAGGCTTTTGATTGCATTGGAAGGACATCAAGGTGCACCCAGCAGAATTCTTTCTTGCTTATGATTTCTATCTTGCATTTTCTCCATTGAGCTTAAAGTAGCATACATGGTTCTCCTCCTACACTCCTACCCATTTTATCTTCAGAACAACAACATAAGGTAGGATAGACTGAGAGATGGCAGCTGGCTTACAGGCATGCACTATTTTAAGCGGGGACTTCAACTTGCAGCTTCAAAGCCCTCCTAGCTGCTATGCCACATTGGCTCTTATGTGGATCTCCTGGAATTCCACAGCATGAACATAGCAGCACAGAAAATCTTGACACATATTCCAACTAACTGTAGCTCAGATGGTGGCAGGACAATAAGTTGGAATGTAAAATGTTCTGGTTTCACTCCATCTAAATTTACCCATGTGCGTGCCGAAGTCCAATAGGACTTAATCACAACAACTATTATTCGGTCTCAACTACTACTACTACTACTACTACAAAAATCTATGGGTTCAATGGGACTTAATCATAACTAACTTTAGCTAAATTAGGACAAAAGCAGCTCCTTATATGTCCAAATAACAGAAGAGCATCTCAAAGGCAAATTCTTGCTATGTTTGCTCATACCTTTTCTTCACAGATATCACCCTCACAAAGGAGGACTATGTAGCTCTAACAATCCAGTACATTCTCTGAGAAGACAGATCCCTTTCTCATCACTGTGACAGAAGTAATGGGAGGCATGCCCACTCTCCAGAATAAGAACCTCCCTTTTCCCCTTAAGGTCATTTCTCTTAAGGCGACATACCCTCACCCCTATTTGAATATCCACATTCCACTGCATTCATGACTTATAGTGGCCATTATGTTTAGGTTTCAAAGCTTTCCTGAGGTACAGTCACATAGTATGAATCTGACAGATATAGAATCATAGTATTGGAAGGGATCTTGGTGGTGTCTATTTCAACCCCTTGTTCAGTGCAGTGTCTAATACATATTACCTGTTTTTAGGTTGGATCCAAACTTAGGCATACCTATAGTTGACCCACTGAAATCAGCAGAACACTAGGAATGACTAACTTAAGTACTACTGATTTTAACAGCTCTATTCTGAACATGTCCAAGTCTAGAACCAGGCCTTTGATATTTCTATGTTTACTTATTCACAAAATGTGTCTCTAGCGCTTATGAAAAAGGGCAGTCTACTGAATTGTTCCATAAGAAGTAAATCTGCTTGCACCTCTCTGTGTTCTGGCTGATAAGTGTATCTGGGCACATTTGAGCCATGTGTTCACTCTGTATAGAATCAAAACTTAAACTATTGAACTAAATGATAGTCTAATGATTTAGACTATCCATCAGACTATTTTAAAAATGTATTTAGATTTTTGCTTTTTTGCCTTGATGGATGATAAGCATCTAGGGTAGTGTAAGTTTCTTCTGCTCATCTTCTCCTTACATTTTTGGCAAATGTAAAATAAGGATTCATATTGCTTTGCAGTACTGAATCAAAATTGTCCACTTACTTTTTGATAAATTTTGGGTTGTTTTGACAATATTTATTCCTCCCTCCCTCCTTCCTTCCTAGGTTTCAGATACTCAGGGAAGATTAGGTTCTTTACAGAAGCCTGAAAGACAAGTTACTAGAATGGTTGTTATTATGATCTTTGCATTTTTAATCTGCTGGTCTCCATATGCTGCCTTTTCAGTCTTGGTCACAGCATGTCCTTCTATTGAGTCGGATCCTTGTCTTGCCGGAATCCCAGCTTTCTTTTCAAAAATAGCTACAGTTTATAATCCAATTATCCATGTCTTCATGAACAATCAGCTACTGTACTTTTCTTCTTGAGGTATTTACATTGAATTGCTTCCAAGTCCTTGAGGAAGATTGCTGTTTGTTTCAGCTTTCACCTTTGTTATTGTTGTTATTGTTCTTCACTCAGGAAGACCCTTGACTGGTATATCAGTCTTAGCCACTAGGAGATGCTGCGTGTGATGGATGCCATTTGAGCATATAGTGACAGAGCTGGATCAAAACTGGCCTGAAATATGGATCTGATCCTTTAGAGACAAAATGTCCCACTGTCACTCCCTTCACCACCAGCACTAATATCCCAATGCACAGGCAGTCTTCTGGCTTCACTGTGAAAAGGGATTCATCAGAGGAAGCATCTAGGTCTGGCAGGCTTGAACTTTCAGCATTTGCAACAATGAAAGAATGGCCAACAGGGCTCTGTGGATCACTTGCCTGCCCTAGTGCCACATAAGTTGTTGTTGGTGAGGAGCAGGGCTCCTTTTTACAACTCCGGCAACAATCTTTTTACAGCAAATGCATACGTTGGACAACTGATCAGATGACTGTACACATGGACATCAACAGGTAGCTAGTACAGAAATCAAATAGACTATATAATCAAAAGTAGAAGATGTTCTTGCTACCATAAGAACAAGAGCAGATTGTGAGAGTAATCAGAGTAAAGCTGAAAATGATCACCAACAGAAGCATAGTACCAAAACACAACTTAAAATACATTCTGGAGGAATTTAAATACCTTACTGCATTACTTACCACAACTGACCATGAAGCAAAAGAACTGTGGACTGAAACCAGAGGTGTTCTTAGGGGAGAATGCAAAAAGACAATTCCCGTAAAAGAATGCAAAAGGAAGAACAAGTCTAAGTGAATGACAGAAGTCACACTCACAATTGCTAAAGACACAAAAGAAGCAACAGCGAGGAATCCTGTGAGGAAGAACCTGCAATACTAGAAACTGCAGCAGAGGCTGCTCTGAAAGCACTTGTAAGGAACAAAACATAGAGAGTAAAGCATCCACCTGAACATCCAGGTGGGGTGATCAGCATGTTCCATTTTATTCCAAATTAACCCACAAAGATGATTTCTGGCAGCATTCAGTAACCAGGATCTGAACAGATGGTCAGGTTATTTTCCCTTTAAAATCATTACTGATAGAAAATAAGTAGTCAAAGCAAAGTAGCTAGGATCGTGAATGGTTGCAGAGGAACCAAGACTCCATTCAGGTTTTGTAACTGCTCTGCTAGGGCTGCCATTAGTTGTTCTTTACTTTACCACTGCTGTCCCAGTTGTCTCAAAGCTAATGCAGGTGGAACAAAAGATAGAAGAATGGACCACTTCTGGGCACCAGAGCAAGAACCACTGCCCTGAAGTTGTTTGAGGTCTCTAAGAAATGGTAACCCTATAAAAGCTGGTCAAGCAAGTCAATACTCAGGAAAGAGATGGAAGCATTGAGAAAATTGTGTACTGTATCTCCATTGAATCTAAATGCCTCCCAATCTCTAAGTAAAACAATGCATAAGGTTTCCTTCTTGTAATTGCTCAGGCCTGAGTTCAAGTATTGTCTAAAGCTATGTAGTACTTACTATATGTAGTATTTAACCAAAATAAAGCGCTTAAAAATGAAAAATGGGCAGTTATTTTCATCTTCTTTCATTTCTCCAGTCTTTATCAAGCCCACAACTACTATCAATCAATCAATCCTTTATTCGGTCATTGACCAGCCAATAGCCCACAGCTACATTTTAGGTGCCATTAGCCAGTGGATTGCTGTCAGCAATGTTGAAATTGTTGCACATATTCTGTTTTCCATGCAGTAGTGTAATTTGATTGGATTTTTGCCCACATGGACACTGACACAGGATGTCATAAAATGTGTTCCAGGATTTGATCATATGTGCAGTTTTAAAGAAAAATTGTACACTTGGAATCTTTTCTTAGAAACATAGAAACATAGAAACAGAGCGAGTCAGAAGGGACCTCCCGGACCATCTAGACTGACCTCTGGCACCAGCCGGCTCTGCTCACGACATGCCCACCATGTGGATGTCCAGCCTATCCTTGAACACCCGCACCGATGGGGCCTCAATGACCTCTCGTGGAAGCCCATTCCACACCCTCAGGGTCCTGACTGTCAGGAAGTGCTTCCTGGCATCCAAATGGAACTTTGGCTCCCTGAGCTTTGCTCCATTGGAGCGTGTCCTGTCTTCCTCTACAAGGGAGAACAGCTCTCTACCCATCTCCATGTGACATCCCCTCACATATCCGTATGTCGCCAACATATCCCCTCTGAGTCTCCTCCAGACTGAAGAGACCCAGTTCCCTCAGTCTCGCCTCATATGGCATCCCCTGCAAACCGGCCACCAACCTTGTGGCCCTACGCTGCACTGACTCCAACCTGACTATATCCTTTCTGTAATGAGGAGCCCAAAACTGAACACAATACTCCAATTGCGGGTGCGCCAGAGTCATAGAGCGGTAGTAATACCTCTCTCGATCTAGATGCCACGCTTCTGGCTATGCAACCAAGGGTGGCGTTCGCCCTCTTGACCACGGCATCACACTGCTGACTCATGTTTAGCCTGCAGTCGACCAGTACCCCGAGGTCCCTTTCACAAGTGCTGCTCTCCAGCCACTTGTGACCTAACCTGTACTTATGACACCCATTCCTATGCCCCAAGTGCAAGACCTTACACTTATCCACATTGAACGCCATCCTGTTGTCTCCTGCCCACTTCCATAGTCTGTCCAGATCTTTTTGGATCTGGAGTACCTGCTCCTCAGTTGTGGCCACTGCTCCAGTTTTAGTGTCGTCTGTGAATTTGATCAGCAGATTGTTCACCCTTTCTTCCATGACGTTAATGAAAAGATTAAACAGGATCGGCTCCAGGACAGAGCCCTGGGGGATCCCGCTTGTTACTGGCCGCCATCCCAATGATTCCCCGCTAATGGTTACCTTCTGCTTTTGGTTAGTCAACCATGCCATAATCCACCGGACAGTGCTTTGGTGTATCCCAAAACTCCTCAGTTTCTCCACCAGGATATCATGGGGCACTTTGTCAAAGGCCTTGCTGAAATCCAAGTAAACCACATCCACTGCATCCCCTCCATCTAGTCATCTCAAAACCTTGTTATAGAATTCCACAAGGTTTGTCTGGCAGGACCTGTTTTTGTGGAAGCCGTGTTGTGTGGCTGTCAGCCTCCCTTCCCTATCTGGCATCACTAGATCTCTCTCTACTATGAGCCTTTCCATTGTTTTTCCTACAATGGATGTAAGGCTAACCGGTCAATAATTCCCCATGTCCTTTCTACTACCCTTTTTGAAAATTGGGACCACTGATGCCACCCTCTA